AGCACTGCAGAGCAAAGAGTACAGTCACCATGTGCTTTACTGCTTACCTGTTTTTAATTGTAACAGGAAACAAGAAATTCTACTTAGAACAGAAGAGTGTAGAGTATATACCATAGATCCAAACTTGTAAACACTGCCATCTACTGGCTGAATATTACTGTAGTTATTGCAGAAAAATACATCCCAACGATGAATTCCAAAAAGGTCCATTGGAGAAACTCTATCTCAGATTTCTTTCATCTTAACCTGACATCTGGGGTAGGTCAAATGTTGCACATAGCCTTTCAGTGTTGATGGTCCCTGGCCAGCTGTTCTTGCCCCCAATTGGTCAAATTCAAGTTATTAAAGCTCTTTGGCTGATGGTGGATACTCTCTCCCAGGTATGTTATTCAACTTCAGCAAAGGTTCATCTTTGCCTTTGATCACAAGACAACTTGATTTGTTATTTTTCCTTGGGCAATTAGCCTGGTGTTTTTAGCAGAGGGAGGGAGGCAAAGAACTCCTCTGTTGCCATGTTCAGATGTTTAAAAAACTGCATTATGGAAAAAAACAAACAAACCACCCAAGTCTGTGATTTCTACCTCTTTGTCTGAATAGGCCAGCGATGCTCTATATGTAAGTGTAAGCCAAAATCCTCGTGGACTTCAATCCACTGCATTTGCAACATAAGCCAGAATTAAGTAACCTTTTTGCTACCAAGTCTTTGACATCCTTTTTCCCACATTGTAGGGTGGGAGATTAAGTAAAATAGGTTCTTAAGCAAACTAGCTTTTCACTGCATCTCATTATTATTATTTTTTAAAGTCACCCCAGCAGAAAAGTATTCAATCTTTAAATCATTTAAATTATGCTGAATTTGGTTTCAGAATTCTTGTTCAGCTCTTTTTCCTCCCCAGGTAAGGAAATTGGTTTGTTTAACACTGGAAGTAAACCATAAACATGCAGTTTTTTTCCATCGTAAAAAGTGCACATGCTTTAAGTCATTGTTTCTCAGCTTTTCTGAGCAACTTTAAAATGTGTGGACCTCAACACCCAGAATTCCCCAACCAGCATACTGGCTAAGGAATTCTGGGAATTGAAGTCCATCCTGATTAAAAGTGCCAAGGATGAGGAACACTGCTCTAAGTAATAGCCAGGGCAATAGTAAAAAGTGAACTTATGTTTATATATGATGAATATGAACTTTTCCACCAATAGTTGAGTTGCCTGTGTTTCTGTTTTAGCTTGCATCTCGAGTCTTTGGGTAGTTCGATGGGTGATTTAAATCATTTCCCTAATTTAAAAGAACTATTTCTTTCTTTCTTTCTTTATTTTTGTCAATTGCTTATAAGATAATAGGTATCAGTAAAAACATAGTTATGAATACACGAATACACATAAGAAAAATAAAAAATATAAAAGAAACAATAGGACAGGGACGGTAGGCACGTTGGTGCGCTTATGCATGCCCCCTACAGACCTCTTAGGAAAGGGGTGAGGTCAATAGTAGACAGTCTAAGGTTAAAGTTTTTGGGGTTTGGGGAAGAAATCACAGAGTCGATACAGATGCAGATATATAAACTCCACAAAACATCCATAGCAAAGTACTTTTATTGGTTCATCAGGTATCCTCATAACTCACATTTGTGATGAAGTTCTTCTTTAATGACCAATCCTTTGCATATCTGTCTTGTAGGTAAAAAGATGGTTTATCTCCTATCCTTTTTCTCCCATCTTGTAATGATAGAAGTAGAACAATTACCACGAGTCCATGAGTTCAGCCAAGAGTGAGGAAAACTCTTCCAACTCATTGAGGGTCAATTTAGTGACCAATTAGGATTACAGATGTGGTCATGTGACATGGACTACATTTCCCAGGATACCTTAACTACATTTACCATGATGCATTCTCTTAAGGGAACCAGACATTGACCACTCTGTTGCTGAAGTCGTATTTCCTGCAATCAAGTTTGGTGTGATTAACCTTGAGTTTGTATCTATTGTTTGCTCTTGTGTTGTTATGGTTGAAGCTGAAGTATTCATTGACAGGTAGGACATTGCAATGTATGATTTTATATACTATACTTAGATCAGACCAAAGGCAGCATAGTTCTAGGTTTTCTAGGTCTAGAATTTCGAGTCTGGTGGTATAAGGTATTCTGCAACGAGTAGAGGAGTGGAGAACTCTTCTTGTGAAATATTTCTGGACTTTCTCAACTGTGTTAATATCAGATACATAATGTGGTTTCCAGACTGATGAGCTGTATTCGAGTATTGGTCTAGCAAATGTTTTGTATGCTCTAGTTATTAGTGTAATATTATCAGAGAAAAAGCTAGGTAAGGTTAGGTTAACAACTCTTAACGACTTTTTGGCTATGTAGTTACAGTGGGCTCTAGCACTTAGATCATTAGAGAGATGAGTACTCCAAGATCCTTGACAGAGTTTGGATCATAAACAAGGTCTTGACTATTCAGCCTGTATTTTATTTTCTGATTTTTTTTGCCAATATGTAGGAGAGAGCATTTATTTGTTGAGATTTGAAGTTGCCATTTGTTTGACCATTCTGATACATATTCAAGGTCTTTTTGAAGGGTAGCAGTATTGTTGGTGGTGTTGAATAGCTTTACATCATCAGCGAAGAGAACACAGTTGCTCTTGATATGATCACAGAGGTCATTTATGTAGAGTATGAAAAGAGTTGGTCCTAGAACACTGCCTTGGGGGAACACCACTGTTGACAGGTACAGAATTTGATAGGACGCTCCCAATTTTGACCATTTGTTGTCTGTTTGACAGGAATGCTTCTATCCAGTAATGCAGGTGTCCAGAGATACCGTAAGATTTTAGTTTTAGGAGTAGTTTGTCGTGTACAACTGAATCAAAGGCTTTACAGAAGTCTATGTAGATTGCGTCTCTTGCTTTGCCCTGATCAAGTTGTGTAGTCCATATGTTTTTGCAATGTAAGAGTTGCAGATTACATATATAGTTTTTTCCTGAAACCAAATTGTTTATTAGAGAGTAGGTTGTTTGTTTCTCAGTGAAGGATGATGGATTGGTTAATAATTGATTCCATGACTTTACAGGTGACGCAGCATAAAGAGATTGGTCTGTAATTTTCAACTAGGCTGGGGTCTCCCTTTTTGAAGATGGGGATGACCGTGGCTTGTGACCATAGTTTTGGCAAGGAGCTGGTCCTGAAAGATTTTTCAAAGATTATGCTTAGAGGTTTGGCTATGGCAGTGGGTAGCTTTTTAAAGAAGTAGGCACATATTCCATCCGGTCCAATAGATAGAGATGGTTTTAGATTGCGTAGTGCTTTTTCAACATTGTCTTCTGTAAAATTGATATTGATATGATCATTGTAGTTGTCTGTGGTTCAACTAGGAAATACTGGGCATGATCCATTGCTGTTTACAAATACTGAGCCAAAGAATGTGTTAAAGAGGTTGGCTTTAATAGTGTCATTGTTGCAGTCTTTACCATTAGGTCCTTTCAGGGTGGGATGGACCTTGAGTCTTTTAGTTTGTTGTTTACAAAATTGTAGAAAGCTTGGGTGGAATTGGTGTGTAGAAGGTTTTCTTCTTGTTTAATGTGATAATTGGTGCATTCAGTTTTTATCTGGTGGCATAAATTTTTGTATCGGCTTTTGAAGTTGGCAACATAACCAGATTTGTTTTTTTCCGCCAAAGTGATTTCTTTTTGGATTGAAGCTTCCTTATTGTTATGGGTAATTTGTTTTTTTCTGGTTTTGGGAGTTGTTAATGGTACATATAGTTTGATGACTCTTTTGACTTCAAGTAAAAATATGTTGTAATGATCTTCTACAATATTGCATCCAAAGAATAGAAATTGCCAATCAAGGGATGAGAGATCGTTGTTTATAAGATCATAGTTGCCTTTTTTGAAGTTATGATTGGGGATTCTGTTGTGGTGATGATTTTTGTGTGGACGTATGTTGAGACAAAAGTCAATCATGTTGTGGTCACTGTTGGAAAAGGGTTCTTTAATTTGTATTCCGTAAATTGAATTCAAACTATTGCAGAAGATGAGATTGAGGCAATAGTATTGTTGGTTACTAGTTGTTGTAGTCCCGGATTTGTTACTGCTTTGTAGAAGGTTGCAGTTGTACATTCGTTAAGGGTCCAGTTAATATAACCAGAAGTGGATTTTTGTAGGTATGACTGGTTCAGGTCATTCATGTTTCTTGATGTAAAGATGTCTTGGTCTTCTTAATTTCTTAACTTGGTCTTAAATTTCTTAATTTGGTCTCCCCAGTCCCAGTTTCCAAGCCCTTTCTGCAGATAAACAATTCAACACCCGTGGAAGGCATGCCAGTTGTGATGATCTGCACAGTGAAAGAAGGGACACCTCCTATCGCTTATTCTTGGCAGCGCTACACTAACCGAGATGGCATGGTAGTTCTTGCTGAAGCAGGGACACATCTCTTAAACCTCACCTCAGCAAACCGGACATACATGGGTTGGTACACCTGCACAGCCCAAAATGAGGTCAACAGCCAAACCAGCGATGGGATGTACCTTGACGTTATCTGTAAGCAACTGGTCAATAAGGCCAATTTTTCTATTTTGGGGAAACTTTGTGTGCAGCCAATTAGAGATTAATCTTGCCAGGTGTGGACCATGAAATAAAATAGATGATTCCTAGTGAAGCAGATTAGATCAGACTTTCCTATCTGGTCTACTTCTGATGTATTGACTTGATTGAAGCACACCAGACTGGGGAGATCTATCCTCAGATGCTCAGCATCTCATCAACAGAAGTGCCTTCTTCAGATTGCATTCTATTAACTAGTTTAATCTTCCATAGATGGTCCAGATGAGCCAGTGATCAGCATAGAACCATTTGCAATTAACCAACATGGCTTCTCAGCCAATGAACAAGAAGAGGTGATTATGACATGCCTGGCTCCTTCCAATCCTCCCAGCCACTACATTTGGTTCTACAACAGCTCTCAAGTCTACTCTGGACAGAAGTATGTGATAGCCAGAATTTCACGGACACAAACAGGCATCTATACTTGCTTAGCTCAGAATATGCACCTGAATACTCGGACCCAGGCCACTATTATCTTGACTGTCTATTGTAAGTTACCTTTACCTGTTTTTCCAGGCATGAGGTTTTAGCATGTTCTGTTGCTTCTTATCTCTCTATCTTCTAGATTTTTTAAAAAAATTCACTATTCTAAACATCACCATCCTGGCACAGCTGAAAAGATGCCAAAAGACAAATGTCAACATAATCTGGGTGTAAAATATGAGTTCCAAAGAAGGTGGTGATTGCCTCTTCTACCATGGTTACCAATGCTGGTGGTTTCTGTAGTAATATTTTAGCTTCCCTTCTGAGAGAATAATTAACAGTTCTTGCTCTGTGCCCTGATTTTCATTGTGTTTTGTGTCAACAGAGTCTGTTCTTTCTGGTGAAATTCTTCAAATTCTCTCTCTTTTTTTGCAAAAGAGAAATAAAATTAAAGGACTCCATGGATTTCTGAATGGAATAATCAGGTAGAAGGAGGCCAACTTGCTAAAAGTATTAATAGAACAGGAAAGTAATCATTGGTCAATGTTGCTTTTGTGTCTTGCAGCAGAAAGCAGGCAGATGTTTTTCAGGTAGATCAAAGCAGGCCTTTTGATTGATGTTTGTGGACCATTGAAATATATGTTTGGTAACAACATTGACCAAATTAACCTAGCGAATTTCAAAACAACACCTCAAAGACCAACCTGCAAGATCCTTAGATTCCCTGAAATAACGCAGAGCCTTCCAACTTCTGTACTATCATCTTCACATGATGCAGTTTTATCTGGATGGTACAGAATTTGAGCTGTGGGGTGTGTGGGAGAAAGTCATTTTCCTAATATTTCTTTGCAAAATAAATAAATGCACAAATAAAATCATCCTCATATATAGGAAATGATCTTATCTGAGACCAGAGCTAGTATTTCCATAGTACTTTATTTCATTGAAGATATTGACTCAGCACCCAGATCTTACAACTTTGTAATGCATTCATGTAATGCCATTGCACCGATTGACCTGCATTCTTACGTTAGAAACAGGTTAAGGTGGATGAGGGGATTTGCAGAGATGGAAAAGCAAAGAAATTCAAAGCTTAAGAAAAATATGAGGTTGTCAAAATAGGAAGCCATAAATTATGAGTTTGCCTGTATGACTCTCAGCTCCATGGTTTAGTGAAACTGCCAATGGAAAAGTGTAAGAGTGAGGGCAATAGTCCCTTTCCTTCAGCTTCTTTTCCCACCAAGGAATGTCTGCAAGCAGGCAGTAGCCAACTTTTTTTTTTTCACAGCAAGGATTCTCGGCTTCTTCTAGCCATTTGAGACCAGTTCTGTCATCAAAGCTTTCCCCGGTATGCGAATGCAAAGAATAGGCAAATATCTGCTATATCTCCTGCTCCTGGCCAAGAAGTCATGAGATTCTGAGAGATTCTGAGTGCATAAATTGTTGGTCAACTTTGGGTAGAAGTTGGATTGCAAGAGCAATGATTTGGGTGGGCATGGAGAAGATGGACACAAACATCTTGTGGCTCAAACAAGCTTTTGTGTCTAATCCCAAAGCAGCAGGGATGGGACCTTGCTCTTCGCCACCGTCACCTTTTGGATAATGATTTCCTCCATGGATGTTTCTGGCCCCAGTAATTCCTCGTTGCTGTTGATATGATGTTTACCCTATGCACAGATCTGCCCAAGGGACAGCTCCACTGCATGTCGCTGCCTGCCTCCAATTTCCAAGACCTTGCTCTGCATTGTTTATGGCCAGGGGGATTCCCTTCAGTGCACTTGCGGTGGGTAAAATCGAGGGCAGAAGAAACCGACACGGGAAGCTTCTCCAGAGCTGTTCAAATCCATCAGGGTGCAAATGTTCTCAATGGGACTTCCTATATCTGCTTGGCTTCCCATCCAGCACTGAGAAAGGATGCCGTTTGCAGGATCACTGTCTGTGAGTACCAACCTCTTGC